GATGAAGGGCTGCTCCTCTATATCTTGAACGTGAGAAGTTTCCGTCACTGCCGTTTCAGGGAGGGTGGGTGGGGGGTGGGTGGCGGGATCAAGCTTCTGTAGGGAGGAGACGAGATCCTTGGCGTCTTCTAAGCTCTTCTTTAGATCTGTCATCGTATCGTTCGCGGACCTCGAAAACAGTTGTGTTAGTTTAGTGAGTTTGTTAGTCGTCTCGCTCGGTGATTGGCAACACACATTATCTTGAAGGTTCAATTTGAGTAGTTCCTTCTTTTTAAGGACGGTTAGATTACAAAGAGTTTCGTCGTCCATTCCGAAAGATTTCAGCTCCCGATCGAGCTGGTATCCTACTAGTTTACCAATCAGGTCCATGCAAGTTGCCGTGGTGAAACAATATGTGCGACCGCTTAGCTCAGTCTGGGTCTCCATTTCAGTCAAATTGCAAATCGAAATGTAGTGACTTACTTTAGTAGGGAGGTTTTTGTGGCTTTTAGGAAAAGGACCGCTCTGTGTCGGTACCACTGAGCCCGTGAGTTCGTCTGTTCGTCTGTTCGTCAGTAGTTACAAGCTGTATGCTGTAGCCAGTGCGTCGTAAAAACGGCTTATCTCATCAATTAGCGAGAGAGATAAAAGACAAACATATACGAGATGTAAAAAGTGATATGTATATCCACAGGGCACTAGAAAAAAAGCAGGTCACAGCACTGCTTCTATTGGACTACAGCAAGGCCTTCGACATGGTTGACAGCAGTATTCTTCTGAGAAAACTTGAGCACTATGGAGTTCGGGGATTGGCTTTATCTTGGTTTCACTCATATCTTACCGATAGAGAGCAATACGTGAGCGTCAACAACTGCAAGTCCTCTCACCTCAAACTTAACTACGGAGTACCACAGGGCTCCATTCTCGGACCAATTCTGTTCATAATTTACATCAACGACCTTCCTCAGATTAGTAATTTAGCTAAACATATTTATTTCGCTGACGACGCAAACCTAATAATAAGTACAGATACATTTGAACAACTTAATGCAATGGTGAATGAGATTCTGACTTTGATAATTGATTGGGCTACTAATAACGGGCTTAAATTAAATGCTAGCAAAACTAAATATATGATCTTCACAAATAAGAAAACTGAGGATATAGAAATTTACATGGGAGGTGAACGATTAAAGCAAAGTGATCACGAAAGGTTTCTTGGCGTGATCATTGATACCAAGCTAAATTGGGCCCACCACATTAGACATTTAGCCACTAAAGTATCTAGAAATGCGGGCATACTCTACAAACTCAAAGGCTCTGTACCTAACAAAGCACTCAAGTTGATATACAACAGCTTTGTTCAGTCTCACTTGTATTACTGCTGCACAGTTTGGGGAACAAAATCGCTAAACTCCGTTAAAAGAGTCTTCTCGGCCCAGAAAAAGGGCATTCGCGCTGCAGATAACCAATACCACCGCTATTTTTATGACAAAGATCTGAACAGTACACCTTCACACACAAAGGAAATTTTCAATAAACTAGAAGTATTAGCTTTACCGAACGTGATAGCTAAATGTATATTATGCTTAATGCACAAAGTTTATTCTAACACTGCACCACCAAATATTATAAAAATGTTCACTGTTTCAAACTTAAACGCACCTAGAAGAGAACCTGAGTTCTTTGCAGTACCATTTAACCGTTTATGTAATTCAGACAAGAGCATTTCTTACATTGGGCCTAAGTTATATAACAAAACAGTCAACATTATTAACAAGGACATAAAATATGTCACGACTTGCCTACAAGACAAATTCCTAAATTCATTCAAGTCTACAGTCAGCAAGCATGTGCTTACTGCACAAGCACTTAACCCGGATGACAAGGACTGGAACAACTCAAATTTCGTACTTTTAGAAATTTAAATAATTTGGTACAACATACGTTGATAATAACGAGCAACAAAACTTTAACCTCATAACGAAATATGACTATCTTCGAGCATTTTCTACAATGCTATCGCTACCGCGCAATTTCACTGTCATTTACAAGACAAAAATATCACCGCGCATTCTTCAGACCCTGTGTTGCTGTTCTAAATTTATGTCAAGAGATAAGAGTTATTTAAAAATTCTTAATAGTAGTACTATTCAAATTTGCTAATAGCGTAATCATATTTTATACATTATTCATATTTTATACATTGTGTGCATATATTTATATTTGATTGTAATTAAAGATTTTAAGGCGTTAGTGCCGAGCAATGCCTCTGGGTAGTGCTCCTCAATCAGCTGATCAGACCAACAGTGAAATCACTAATATAACTAATATAACACTAACGATCCCAGGAAAATGTTTAAAGCAGTATGCAGTAAGACATCTTCAAAAATTTAAACCACCTAATAACTCAATTGCAGTGGATATCAAATGAAAAAGGTTGTTTGATTGCATTTGACTACATGAAAGCGTTTGTTGTAAAAAAAACATTTTACTCGTGATGACCAACCTTTTGAGCTTATTGAAGCTTTTGAAAACAAACACCTTTAAATTAAATATTGTTGTAATAATAAGGGAATGAGTTTTTCTATTTGAGCTGTTTAGTTCACAGAAAAGCAGATATGGACTGCTTTAAAACTTTTATTTTGGAAAAAGTTTGTTTCAGTAACCATTGAGAACCAGTGGCCTTTTGTAACTGCATCTTTAACCTCAGTTTCATTTTGAAACGTCAAGTGACTGGTAAAGCTTCAAATATTGTGTTCTGTGAACATTTATTCTAGTATTTTGAAGTGTAGAAATTGTTAAGATCTTTAATTTTGTACTAAATCGCTCGCCCAAAAATTTTACGTGACTTTGGTTTTTTTGGTTTTGTAGCAGTACAAAACGGTTTTACATAAACCCTAACCCAACCCTAACCCTAACCATAACCCCGAAGCTATCCATAATCTTAACCACAACCCTAACCCTAACCCGAGCCCTAAATAATCGAATTCACGTTTTACTAGCCTGTCACGTGACCAAAACGGTTGTTTGCCCATAACTCTCCAGGTAAGCATTTTAACCCTACGTCATGGGGGGTGATTCGGAATCAGCGTCCAAAAATACACCGATCTAGATCATTTTCATGCCTAAAGGGCCTTTTCACAAGAATTTTCTTAAAATTTGGGCGAGCGATTTAGTAGGAGCGCTAAATTATTGATACTTTATAACGTCTTAACGGGGTATAATTTTGTTAGGTAGGTATTTAAAATTATTAGTCTTTTGGAAATTGAAGTTTTGACCTTTACTATTTATTGTTAATAAAATGCTCATTGTAGCCAGTTATTTTAAGATTTTTACCATCATCAATGAGCTTATTGAGGGTCTGTCATGTGCTCTCAATGTTTCTTTTACTGGACTTGAAATACATGCCATGCAGCCACCTCGGGCTTGAAAAATGGGAGGGCCAATGGTCCTGCAAATGGAATACCCAACGAGCTAATTAAGTTCTTTAATTAAATACTTTATAGTATTGTAGCGCAATTTTTTCATATGTTGTAGACCTTGCTCTATCCAGTACAGCGCCCTTTTGCTTGCAGTAGCGCGAAAGCACATGGTTAGATGAATTGTAGAGCTGCCGCGCACGAGTGCGCGGCTGTATCTTGGCCACTTAGTGAAAGGACAATGTAATGTAATGGGGCCGGGGTCACGGCGTAATATTGTTACATGGGGACCTCTACTCAGGCTATCATGTTCATAAACATAAAACATAGAATAGAGATTCGGCGGAATGACAGGCTGAGCGCGGCCCAGTAATGTCAATGATATTGTAGCGCGATGAATTACTGGGCCGCGCATCTTCTCGCAACATGTAGATCAGCGAGATGCAAAGGATTGACATCGTGAATCAAAACGTGGTGCACTGGTGCAACATAAAGCGCAATGCACTAACTTAACTGGGCCACGCTGCGCATCAAGTAATGTTTCTCACAATCACAATCTTCGGCCCGCGTGATCAGCAAAATGCATCACTGGTATGGGGTCGTTCACATATTACGTAATCAGCCGAGGAGAGGGGGGTTAGGGTAATTACAAGGGGGAGGGGGTTTTGGTCGTTGATTACTGGGCCGCGCTCAGCCTGTCATTCCGCCGAATCTCTATTTGGATGTTTATGTTTATGAACATGATAGCCTGAGGTCCCCAGCTAGGTAAGTCGTTGATTACGTAATCAAAGTTTTCTTTTTTACCACTAGACTCAATTTCATTCTTTTTCACACTTTCATAATAGTGATAAAATTTAGAAATTGATCGAATATCCGGCTATAATAGTAAAAGGTGCTTGGCTGGATATCATAATATATATAACAATGATTTCGGCTCATCATGATAGCATGGTCAGGGCCGGTAGCATGAAACGTAGAGAAAGGTGTTTTCTAGGGAAAAAAGTCCAGGGGGGCAGCCATGATTAATTGATTAATTTTGTTTTACTTAATTATTCGCAGCTTGGCGAGGCCAATAGCGCATCGCGCTACAACAGCCATGATTAGGATGATGATTAATCACTGTACACTCGACTGTCACGTGACTTTTTAAACACTTTCTCTTGGTGGCCCAGAATGACTATTCGAAATCCTAGCCCTCTAATCTGATCCCAACCTTAACCCTAACTTGTATCACGTCTTGACCCCCCACGGTCGTTTCACTAGGTCCTGACGCGATACAGGGGGAGCCGCGCACTCGTGCTCGGCGGGTTATACAACGTATGACAAAACCCTAACCCAATCTCTAACAAAAGCATATGCTGAAACCCTAACCGGGCCTAACAAGAAATTAGACTAACTTCCGTATATGGTCATATCACGTGATCGAGACAGTTTTTCGCCAATATCTCGCTAGGGGAGCGTTTTAACCCTATAAAAGTTTAAAAGAAATATTGGTCTTTGGGTAGGGTGAAATTTTATGTTATGCATCGACCAATATTTGTTACAAATTTATAATGGGCAATAGAAATTCGTCCTTTTCATTATTAAAACAACAATATCACGGTGAAACACAATAAATATTTTCCAATAAGTTAAGTCAAAACAGTTTATAAATATTCCGCAAAATAGACAATTAGTGTGTATTATAAAGGAGTAACTACTGTAACTAGAGATAGTTGCACAATAATAGTGTGCACAACAATTAGATGAAAGAAAAAAGCTTAGCCTGCCTCTAACCTAGGTAACAATTGTCACAAGAGGACTACAGTAAATATGGGAACCATATTGGTAACTGAAATTAACTACATTTATCACTAATTTTATAAATTATAGAAACTAAAGAAACGAGGTAATCACAGTACATACCGGTGGCAATTATTATAGTGCTAGTATATAGTTACTAAATGTGAACGAGGTATGATAACCAGGTTCCTTATTAAAACAACTTAAATAGGCTATTAGTAACTAAGTAACTACAGGAACAACATGTAACATGTTGTATTATAAAGGAGTAACTACTGTAACTAGAGATAATTACTGCATGTTGCAATAAAAATTACAGTAACTTAAAGTAACTACAGTAGCAACTTGTAGCTTTAGCAACTATGTCTATAATAGCGAGAACTCCTCCTTTTTCCGTAATCCATTTTAGACTTTTGTGTAGAAATTAGTATTTCCAAACTGCCCCTAATTTGGCTTTCGTAATATGCGCAATGCAAATGATACCTATTACCTAACTGAATTAATGTAGCTATGCCTATAGCTAATTTAGTGACTAATAAACCTAAGTAAGCTAAATTGTAAAGTAATCATGTTACTAACAGGTTATCTCGGACCATTCAAATTACCACGTCGGTAACTTTTGTCCATCGCCCCATTTTGGAGCAGAACTTATTTAAACTTCCATACCAAGCCCTAGCCTCCACCTCCTCGAAAAGTAATTTTATCTAATCTGCCAATTTATACCACAATGTGTAAACAAAAACCTTAAGCCGTGACATAAACACTAACTGATGCAAAAACCTAAGGTCGTAACATAGACACTAACTAAATAGCTAGACTACATCCCTTTCAAAACATTGTTAAATACAATAGATAACACTTATAGTAATCACGATAAGTTACTATGGTAACTAGTAGTGTAACTATGGTAACTAGTAGTGTAACTATGGTAACTAGTAGTGTAACTATGGTAACTAGTAGTGTAACTATGGTAACTAGTAGTAATACTAGATAACACTTATAGTAGTGACGATGTATAAGTAATGGTAGCCAGGTAACTTGTGCTATTAGTTGGAATAATGTTCTCAAATAAATTTGTCGAAAAAGTTAGCTTTGACTCGTGAGATCGATTAACCAAAAAACTTACCCAAAAACAGTCAAAATGTCTAGATTTTATGTAGAGAATCAAATTTCTTGATTCTATGTACAGATGACTACTACTCGTGATAAAGTTACATATCTGCCGCGGCTGAAATTGCAAAAAATAAAATAAAATTGAACGTAATTATATCTGCAGAGTGCACGCATCCCACTTTGAGCGAGTCCTTCTTTGTTGTGACTTATTTTTACCAGTTTCAATATGTCTCAAGTTATCAAACTGGTGGGTGCTCAGTTCTACACAAATTTTTTCTGAGTATCAACTTGACTTGACTGAATTTAACCTTCACGAAACCAATAATCACTATCGAAATTGAGACAGAGGTCCGGTCTAACAAGTCATAATCTCAAGTCGCGTAATGTGACGTCATACCACGTGCAGTGGTTGTTATGGTAACGTGGTCTCAGCCCGTTAATCTAATGTTTCTAGGAGGACTATCTGACGAATCAGAGCTGTTGTCGCTGGTGTTGGCACTGAAATGCTCGCTCATTAGCTCTATCTTGTCCAGGAGGTGAATAGGAACCTCTCTCACCACCTCGCCCTCAGGGGCAGACTGGGAGCTGACTGCTAGCGGAGAGAGAGGAGCCGGGCTGTGGTTCCTGGCCCTGTATTCTACTGTAGGGGACCTGTGCCCCAGTCCCATCGTACACGGTCTTTTGGGAGGACTAGCACAATCCGGCTCCACTATCTTCCTCTTTAAAGTGAAGGAACTGGCTCGGGTGAAGGAGTTAGGAGAGACGCAGCGTGCAGGGAGGGTGGGTGGAGTAGAGAAAGGTGGTGAGGGAGAAGGGGTGGTGCTGCGGTGAGGGGGGAGGCGCTGCTCCACATTACCATGACAACGCAGGGGACGGGCAGGGGAATTAACGGGGAGGATAGCCGGACGTACGGGGGACACAGCAGGGGGGCGAGCAGGAGAAGTGAGACTGCGAACAGGGGAGCCCAGGTGTCGTGGGGAGGAGGGACAACTGGAGACTTGAGATATTCCGTCTTCTTTATCCTGGGGGAGTGAATTGTTAACAACTGGATACTTGAGATATTCCGTCTTCTTTATCCTGGGGGAGTGAATTGTTAACAACTGGATACTTGAGATATTCCGTCCTCTTTATCCTGGGGGAGTGAATTGTTAATTCAGAACTAAGAGCTTCAAACAGAGCTCTGATATCTATATCTCTATAATCTTCGTAACAGTTTAATGGTTACTTACCTTCATTTCCACAGTTTCATGTTATTACTCACTTTACCACAACCATTTACTTATTCCTTATAACTCATTTATTCATGATCAAGTACTCTAATGCATATGTTTTAGTAGGGCATTCTATTGACAGTTTTTTTGGGACTGATTTGAACGTCCTGCACAGCATATTGAAGCTTCTATAAATAATTTAGTATCCTTATTGTATTGCGGTGTAAATTTGATTCAATTCCATTAATCTCGTGACAATACCTATTACCTGGCCTCTCACCTAAACTACTCACTTAACTTACCGACACATTAAGTTTAGCATCGCAAACATTCTTCAAAGTTAGGCTCTGGGTGAAATTTCTTTCTCCGTTTATATCGTCAAAGGTTTCCTCCTTCATATCTCTGTTAACTTTAAATAATCTCCACTGAGAATCGGCCGGTGATTTTGGGGGTGTCTGAAATGTTCATAGTTAGTGAGATACAGTATAAAAATTGGTTAAAACAGGTTGAATACCCTTTCCTTAATTTGCTGAGGGGTATTCTAAGTAATAATTACAGTACAGTACACCTTTAAAGTTTGAATTAAAGAAATATAATTCTCATGGTGATCACTACAGCTCTTCTCTTCAGAAGTAAACAAGGTAGACTGATTAGATTTCCAAATACATTTATCTAATGTACAACCCCTAGTCCCCTACCCCCGACAAGTTTATCTAATGTCCAACCCCTAGTCCCCTACCCCCGACAAGTTTATCTAATGTCCAACCCCTAGTCCCCTACCCCCGACAAGTTTGTCTAATATCCAACCCCTAGTCCCCTACCCCCGACAAGTTTATCTAATGTACAACCCCTAGTCCCCTACCCCCGACAAGTTTATCTAATGTCCAACCCCTAGTCCCCTACCCCCGACAAGTTTGTCTAATGTCCAACCCCTAGTCCCCTACCCCCGACAAGTTTGTCTAATGTCCAACCCCTAGTCCCCTACCCCCGACAAGTTTGTCTAATGTCCAACCCCTAGTCCCCTACCCCGACAAGTTTGTCTAATGTCCAACCCCTAGTCCCCTACCCCCGACAAGTTTGTCTAATGTCCAACCCCTAGTCCCCTACCCCCGACAAGTTTATCTAATGTCCAACCCCTAGTCCCCTACCCCCGACAAGTTTGTCTAATATCCAACCCCTAGTCCCCTACCCCCGACAAGTTTATCTAATGTCCAACCCCTAGTCCCCTACCCCCGACAAGTTTGATCTCTCAATCTGAAATTCATTATGGGAAAGTTTCCCTAATGAAGGCATTGCTTTTTTGGCTGCTTTCAAACAAGACGCAGTTGATTAACAATCGTCTTCAGCAATAATTATTTTCTCCGCTAATCGCACAATGTACAATGTACAATGTACAATGTACGACTCGCACATGACAAAATGAGAGCAGTTAAAACGCTGCACACCTTCCTCCCACATTCCCACACCGAGACATGAGAAATGTACACATTGAGATGTCGGGGTGTATGTATCCGTGTAAGTTGAGCGCCGCGCAACTAATATCTACAAATTGTAGCTGATAGGATGGGCTGCGGGAATCCCATCACAAAAAATGAATTTGGCGCCCGCGCGCTCCAACTAAATTTATAAAAGAGTATATTCTCGGCTTTTGTGGCACGGCCCCTATCTTGTAATTTGCATATTATCGAGCTATAACCAATAACTGTAGCTATTAACAACTACATAATGTACCAAACACATACACTGAACCACTCTAAAACTGTCAGATATAGACTCTCAAAATTGGAGGCGTGCCCCCATTTCTTACCCCTATTGGAGGCGTGCCCCCATTTCTTACACCTATTTGAGGCGTGCCCCCATTTCTTACCCCTATTTGAGGCGTGCCCCTATATTTTCTTATCCCTATTTTACCTAAAAAGGTAAAATGTATATTTTAAATGGGAAAAGCGTTCCACACATGTTAAGAATACATCGCCTTGATTTAAACACATGACTTGATTAAAAATATGGCAAAAGTTAGTTCCTCTTATTAAGTAAATAGAAAGGACTGTGCAGAAGCTGTAATGATCGGTATCTTGATCGAGAACTGTACAGTGTACATTTTCAAACACGCCAATAATTCTGACATCCTGCTGCACACAATATATCACATGGTTTTGTATTTCCACACGAAGCCATCAAGCCATGTCATATTGTATATCTTTATCAAATACTATAATTTTCCGAGTGGAGTTGTACCCCATCCATAATTACTTACATGCTACGAATTTTGACTGATTAAATTTTGCCTTTGTTACAATTTTTACTTTTGAGTTAATCAACGGCCAGGTAGCGCAGTTGGTTAGAACGCCTGTCTTACAATCGTTAGGTTGCGAGTTCGAAACCCACTGACTGCCTGGTCGTGGGGTTAGCGTCGTCGACGTTCAGCTAAGGATCATGAGTGGTCTATGCAGCCCCCCGGTCTACTCAGCCGAATACTCGAGAAATCGGGTGTGAGGGTTAAATGAGGAGCTGCACATTGCAGCAAAGTCTCGGACGAAGAAAGTATGGTACACACTACCTTAACCGTCACTGGCCAAAAAGATCCTTCGGCTTCCTGTAATTGGCTGGTTGCACTTGTGTAACATTGTGGCTGTTGGAATACACCGAAGTAAAATAAGTGTCTAGATAAAAAAAAAAAAAAAAACTGTGATGATTATATATAATATAATATGATTATATATGAATTTTACTTGATAGAGTGCTTTTTACAGGCTCTAATGATGTAGTTTTACGAAGATTTCAAGCCTTACGACTGACGGGATCTAACTTACCGAGAAACTAGCGTGACGGGATCTAACTCACCGAGAAACTAGCGTGACGGGATCTAAATTACCGAGAAACTAGCGTGACGGGATCTAAATTACCGAGAAACTAGCGTGACGGGATCAACTTACCGAGAAACTAGCGTGACGGGATCTAAATTACCGAGAAACTAGCGTGACGGGATCTAAATTACCGAGAAACTAGCGTGACGGGATCTAAATTACCGAGAAACTAGCGTGACGGGATCTAACTCACCGAGAAACTAGCGGGACGGAATCTAACTCACCGAGAAACTAGCGTGACGGGATCTAAATTACCGAGAAACTAGCGTGACGGGATCTAACTCACCGAGAAACTAGCGGGACGGGGTCTAACTTACCGAGAAACTAGCGTGACGGGATCTAACTCACCGAGAAACTAGCGTGACGGGATCTAACTCACCGAGAAACTAGCGTGACGGGATCTAACTCACCGAGAAACTAGCGTGACGGGATCTAAATTAACGAGAAACTAGCGTGACGGGATCTAACTCACCGAGAAACTAGCGTGACGGGATCTAACTTACCGAGAAACTAGCGTGACGGGATCTAACTCACCGAGAAACTAGCGTGACGGGATCTAACTCACCGAGAAACTAGCGTGACGGAATCTAACTCACCGAAAAACTAGCGTGACGGGATCTAAATTACCGAGAAACTAGCGTGACGGGATCTAACTCACCGAGAAACTAGCGTGACGGAATCTTACTCACCGAGAAACTAGCGTGACGGGATCTAACTTACCGAGAAACTAGCGTGACGGGATCTAACTCACCGAGAAACTAGCGTGACGGGATCTAACTTACCGAGAAACTAGCGTGACGGGGTCTAACTCACCGAGAAACTAGCGTGACGGGATCTAACTTACCGAGAAACTAGCGTGACGGGATCTAAATTACCGAGAAACTAGCGTGACGGGATCTAAATTACCGAGAAACTAGCGTGACGGGATCTAACTTACCGAGAAACTAGCGTGACGGGATCTAACTTACCGAGAAACTAGCGTGACGGGATCTAAATTACCGAGAAACTAGCGTGACGGGATCTAACTTACCGAGAAACTAGCGTGACGGGATCTAACTTACCGAGAAACTAGCGTGACGGGATCTAACTTACCGAGAAACTAGCGTGACGGGATCTAACTCACCGAGAAACTAGCGTGACGGGATCTAACTCACCGAGAAACTAGCGTGACGGGATCTAACTTACCGAGAAACTAGCGTGACGGGATCTAACTTACCGAGAAACTAGCGTGACGGGATCTAACTTTAACTCTGACAGCTGAGATGTTCTCCGATAAACCGTCCGGGAGAAATGAACGTGTGGGGGATTGGTTGCCATGGATACTGGTAGCTGGTGAAGCGTAACCAGCCGATACGTGTAATGGAGACATTGACTGCGGAAACCTGAAAATATACTCAGATTTTTAAAAGAGCATTATTTTATATAGAGAGTATAAGTAAAGTATAATAGTACTATGTTTAAGAGAAAGCAGAAGGGTTCCCAAACAACTTCAATCTAAATCAGCGCAGGAACAACTATCCTGGTAGTTTTTCACAATAACAAACTACAAAAAACTCATTTATGTCTTGATTCTAAATTGTTCTTGATCTAAATGTTAGCTGAAAGAATCTAGATTAAATTCAAGGAATGAAACCTCTGTGGGGAGAAAGAAGGGAGCTGAACTTTAGGTTTGGTGTGTGAAGTAACATTACTATTGTTAATGTTCAGTCCACTGTGTGAGGAGATGTTACATACAGCATGTCTAGCTTCAGTCTCACTGTCAGTAAACTCCATATCTGTAATCGTTACCATGGTTACAATATATATATACAGTCTCACTGTCTGTAAACTCCATATCTGTAATCGTTATCATGAAAATTCTCACCTGTGCTGAGATTTAGAGGTTCATTGTAATGCTGACCTGTACTGAGATTTAGAGGTTCATTGTAATGCTCACCTGTACTGAGATTTAGAGGTTCATTGTAATTCTCACCTGTACTGAGATTTAGAGGTTCATTGTAATTCTCACCTGTACTGAGATTTAGAGGTTCATTGTAATGCTCACCTGTACTGAGTTTTAGAGGTTCATTGTAATTCTCACCTGTACTGAGATTTAGTGGTTCATTGTAATTCTCACCTGTACTGAGATTTAGAGGTTCATTGTAATTCTCACCTGTACTGAGATTTAGACGTTTTGTTTTGAAACCCCACGGTGGAGGTTGGCGTGTGCCGCAATTTATTGATCAATGGTTATTACATAAATGAAATTATAGAAGTCACACTAAAATATAATAATGTAAAATAAATATATTAAAATAAATGCCCTACTAAAAGTACTATATAACTAACGGTCTGCAAAACTGGTTGAAGTCGCAATTTGTAAACATGCTAATTACTATTTAATAATAATAGATAAAAAGTTTTGCGCGGCAGATGTAAATTCGGCATTGCATAATGGCAGTGAAATTAAAATGATATGTTGTTGATAAAAGATCATAGTCATTTGTCGCGAGTGATCTTTCTTTACGAGTTGTCGCTTACTAACTCGGTGCTGTAGTCTATTTGCGAGCGCCCTTCTCTTTGAGACTTTCTTAGCCCAGGTATACTATAAAGTAAGAAATTTGGCCAATTTTCATCGTCTCCTGAGCTTTGCAGCTTGAGGAGTTCGCGCTTAGCTGAATTTTTAAAGATTTCAATTGAAAAGGTAGAACTTGGAATAGTTATATCCTTACTTTGTTTTGTAATAGAGAGCATGGGTCCTTTGAAGAAAAGAGTATTTCTAAATGTTGGGCCGTTGTAAGTTGTGAACCAAGAAAGGTTATGTTCGTATGTGGAATTATAGGTGGGAATATCGTGAGGGAAAAGTTCTTTGATGGATTTAGGGAGAAGGCTTGGCATGTTCCTTACTTTGTGTAGTAGAATAAGAGCGTTTTTTACAATGACGCTATGGACTGTTAGGATATTATGCAATCTAAACGCACTTTTTGTGTGCTCCGGGGGATTGCCGTCTTTATATCTATAATTTACATATCCTGACATAACAGCTCTAATTCCCTGCTTTTGCTTGGTGAACAGAGATTCAATGTGACATTTTGAGGCAAATCCCCACACTAAAGAACAGAAATTTAGATGGGATTGGATAAGGCTTTGGAAAATGTTTAGGCGGGCTTTGATAGGTAGAAGGTGCTTTAGCTTATACATAACTCCGAGGTAGCGACCCATCTTTATTCTAACGGCCGTAATGTGTTTTTGCCAAGTGAGCTTTTCGTCTAGGATCACTCCTAAAAATTTTGCTTCAGTCTTACGTTCGATTACAGTGTTGTCAATGGACAAATTAAAGCCGCTGAAGTCGATTCTTTTTCTAGTGAAAATCATGTAACACGTCTTTTTTACATTTAAAGATAGCCCATTAACACCTACCCAATCTACAAGACGTGAAATTAGCTGATTAGCTTTTAATTGTATTTCTTCTAGGGTGGTTCCACTAATTAATATGTTTGCGTCGTCGGCATAAAGGATGAACTTTGCAAAATCACTAATTCCAGGTAGGTCGTTTATATAAATTACAAATAAGAGAGGTCCTAAAATGCTACCCTGAGGTACGCCGTAAACTATGGGCATGCTAGAAGAGCAAGTTCCGTTTAAAGTTACGTATTGAGATCGATTACAGAGGTAAGATCTAAACCATTCGTGCGCGACTCCCCTGATCCCATAATGGTCAAGCTTCTTAAGCAAGGTCTCATGATCAAGCACGTCAAAGGCTTTACTGTAATCGAGCAGGAGCAGTAGGGAAATTTGTTTCTTTTTCAGAGAGTGTAGTATACAATTTTGGGCATTGAGCAGTGCATGTTCGCACGATCTTCCTGGCCGAAATCCGTATTGATTTTCGAAAAGAGAATCGTTCTTATCTAAAAATTCTAAAACACGAGCATGCATAAGTTTCTCATAAATTTTCGAGAATGATCCCAAAAGAGAGATCGGCCTATAATTAGCTACTTCCAATTTTGAACCACCTTTGTGGATAGGAACGACTTTCGCAGTTTTTAGAGCATTTGGGAAGGTACCACTGGAGAACGAACAGTTAATGACATTAGCTAGTGCCCTGGTAAAGTTTTCGCAGCTGTTTGCAATTTTCAATGGCTCAATTTTACAATCGAGTGTGGACTTGTTCTTAAGCCCTGATATTATCTTTTGGACTTCACCGTGTGATGTAGGCTTAAGAAACATCGAGTTATTACACGAAGCCTTAAGAAAATGCTTGAAACCACCTGGGTCAAAGGTTCGACGGGCAGCGATTTGCCTCTTGATACTGGCTGCAATACCGGAGAAGTAGCCGTTAAATTTCTCAGCGACTGCCAGATCGGAGCTTATAATCGTGCCATCGTCGTCCTTCAGACGGGTGTGTCCGAACTTTTTTCTGTTACGGTTCAGGAGGCCATTGATAATTTTCCATTGATTTTTAGAGCAGTTTTGGTATTTGTCAAACATTTTTTTATAGTACTTTTCTTTGGCTAGATTCACATGTTTGTGACAAAACTTTTTCATTTTATCATACGCGTCGCAGTTTTTTTGTGATGGATTTATAGTTTTTTCAAAAAAAAGTAACTTCCTGCGGTTGCATGCCGCCTCAAGCCAGGGTAAGATCCAAGGCTTTGGGTCAGCTCTTTCGAATTTTCTTCTCGAACTGTCGCGCTTCAGGGGGTATGCAGTATTGTAGTGTTTCATGTACGTTTGATAGATGGAATTGTATTGTTCATCAGCGCACGTTGAGGAGGTAGCATCATCCCAGGTCTCACTTACAATAAGCTCTTTGAATTTAGCATGATTAGCTTCGTTAAATACACGGGCCTCTAATTTCAAGCTAGTGTTGTTGTTCTTTACACGTTGACTACGGAATCGCTCGTTCAAACTAGGTGTGGCTCCTAAACTAATGGTCGTGCTAACCGCGAGATGATCTGACATATCCAACGTCACGACATTACAACTAATAACGTTGGTCACGTGATTAGTATACACGTGATCAATAAGCGTTGCACTGTGGTCAGTTACCCTGGTAGGCTTGGAGACAGTCTGGGCAAACCCATATTTTTCTAGTAAGCTTATAAGATCCTGGCTGTAAGCGTCGGTATCGTATTTTATAAGATCAATATTTGCATCACCCAGGAAGACTATCTGCTTTCTGGAGTGTCTATCAAGACCCCTGAGCACGTTTTCAAACTTTTCAAGGAATTTTTTAGGGCTTGTGGATGGCGAGCGATTTACGTGCAGGTTCTTTGATAAAGGGCTCGTGAAACTGTTCGATTTCAATGTCGTTCAGACCATTAGGAAGATTAGAAATTTTACAGTTGGTTTCATTGAGGCAGATGAGGTCAAATTTGGAGAATGTTTCTATTTCTGAGTTGAGACACAGTTAATAAACTGCGGAGTGACTAAAATGCTATACAGCAAAAACAGAAAGCTCCAACCAAACACTCCACCTACTGATCCTAACCACCCTAACAACTCTCAAGCTCTCTCTCTTCAACCCTCATTCCCTCACTCCTCTTGGTGCACAAAACCATTCTAACCTATGTATGTCCCCCTTACGGGTTCCACAAGCCCAACGGTACATAGTTAGACGAAAAACAGAGAAGCCTTGATTGCCAGATCAAGGACTGCATCAGTAGCAGCGAAATACGGATATACCTTCTCCCTTACAGTCAGCGAGCTGACAACTATCTGACTGTGTCTTTTAGGCCTTGCCACACCACCTTCGCTATTGCATCCGCTCGCCCGTATTCACTGACACATGCCACACCTGGGTTTAGTATGAAGATGTACGCATATTCACCCAAGATGCGGAGATGCCTCAGTTTAGCAAGTTGAGATACAACAGCAAACTCACAGGAGCATGGATCAGAATCATCAGTTACCAACCTGACACCGTTTCGGGGCTTTAATCGCAATACGGTTTCCTGTCAGGCGCCCCAGCAGTCCACCCTTGAACCACCATCTGATCCGAGAGTCACTTGAGGAGACCCGTTAGAGCTCGCAATTGGCGACGAGATAACGTTTATGGTTCCTCTAGATGTTATAGTGAACTCTCAAGCTCCAACCTTCCTGAACTCCCACTCCCTCTTTCTCGATAACAAGTAAATCCATCTGGAACAGTGGGCTGCCTCTTTCCCACTGTCCCGTACCAGCTTCTTCAGCTCTCTTCCTCTAAAACCAATCCTCCTCGCAGCTCTCTCCAAACTCTGCGCAACCACTCCCCTAGCTCCAACTTCGACTGCGGCATTAGAACAGCACCAACCTTTCGCCTGAATCTCAGCCTGCAGACCACTGTATCGGTCGAGTTTGTACTCGTGCGATTCAGCGATCCGCTCTTCAGATGGTACTGTTAGCTCCCACCAAATAACTGTCTTTGCCGACCTTGAGAATATCACAAGGTCCGGCCTCAGCCGTGTTTCCACAATCTCACTTGGAAACTTAAGCTGCCCCTCAAGGTCTGACAGCACTATCCAATCCCGATACCCACTCAGGATCCCAAAACCACGACTCTCCTTCCGGTCGTCTGTACCTGCTTTTCTCCTCCCAGCAGGAACAAAATCAATGAACTGTCTTCCATTGCCGGCCTTGTTCTTATAAGTGTTCACTCGGCGATCACAATGGAAGACAACCTGTTCAGAGATCTGCTTCAGAACCTTGTCGTGCCGCCATCTATACCTTCCTTGACTAAGGGCCACCTTACACCCAGCCAAAATGTGCTGAATGGTGCCCATCCTCTCCTCACATAACTTGCACTTCCCATCCTCATCTTCACTCCACTTGGAAACCATAGAGGGGGTTAAGAGGGTGCCGTACACAGCACTTAGCATGAACCCAATAAGTGAGTCACCATACTTAAAAAGTGTATGCCAGCTCAAATCCGTCTTCATTACGAGCTCTCTCCACTCACCCCACCTGCTCTGCATCTCCAGAGAACCTACTTGCACCTCCCTCTCTCTTTCAATGTTCTCCTTCACTCTCAGCATAACCTCCCTCTCTCTTTCCCGCTCATCCATCCTCTCCCAAGGTTTTTTCCAGTCACCAAAACCGATGCCAACTCTTTTTTGAGGTTGCACCATCCCTCGCACCGATTCACAGACCAAATCTCTTCTGGCCTCTTCCAGTTCTGTCTCAGGCGTTCATTCTGTCTCAGACGTTCATTGTAATTCTCACCTGTACTGAGATTTAGAGGTTCATTGTAATTCTCACCTGTACTGAGATTTAGAGGTTCATTGTAATTCTCACCTGTACTGAGATTTAGAGGTTCATTGTGAAGCTGACCTGTACTGAGATAAGAGATTTAGAGGTTCATTGTAATGCTTACCTGTACTGATATTTAGAGGTTCATTGTAATTCTCACCTGTACTGAGATTTAGAGGTTCATTGTAATGCTCACCTGTACTGAGATTTAGAGGTTCATTGTAATGCTCACCTGTACTGAGATTTAGAGGTTCATTGTAATTCTCACCTGTACTGAGATTTAGAGGTTCATTGTAATGCTGACCTGTACTGAGATTTAGAGGTTCATTGTAATGCTCACCTGTACTGAGATTTAGAGGTTTGTTGTAATTCTCACCTGTACTGAGATTTAGAGGTTCATTGTAATACTCACCTGTACTGAGATTTAGAGGTTCATTGTAATGCTCACCTGTACTGAGATTTAGAGGTTCATTGTAATTCTCGCTGCTGCTGGCTGGAGAAAGTACCGAAGAAGTATCCGAAAATGCTGTTTGTGACACACTCAACTGAAGGGTCTGTGGGTTAAGTTTCAACACAAGGAAGTTCAATTATCAGTTGATAATGATAAATAAATCTGTATTCAATTTTCATGAGCAAACATTTTAAAAACCATTTTTACTGTACTAACTCACACTAGGGTACAGATCAAAAGGTTTAGATGTTTTGATCGGAGATGGTCCCTTCCCCTCCTCTGACTTAATGATTTCAGTCTCTGCATTTAGTCTATGTGGTGTAGCGTCCCTTAGTGTAATGTCACGTCTGCTCAACTCAGCCTTCTCCTCTACTCTGCCACAAGTCTTGTTCCCACTCTGCTCGATTTCTCTTTGATAGAGCAATGGATTTTCTGCCTTTTCGCCCCCCTCAGATTCCATAACCTCCTCCTGCTGATCTACTGTAGAGTCTCCATTATCTTCAAACATTTTGGAGACATGTTCCTTAGTGCATTCGTCCATCAAAGCTGGTGGATCATCTGTCTCCTCATCCATTATCTAATGTTGAAGGTAAATTAAAATGTTCAGTATTATCCATTATTTACATTGAAATGTATCAAAATTTGAAAATTAAATTCTTTAAAAAGTTAATTTACTTTTTCTTCATGAAAATTTTTTTCTCGAAATCGACTTTTTAGTTGTTTCTAATAGAAGGGAGTAATATCTATGATCAGCTGCTTTTGATCCTATGGAAAATTATTGTTCCAAGCCAAAGTAATCACCAGTCAAAGGTCAGCACCTATGTGTACAGTGGCGTAACGCTGCCCCGGCCACCCCGGCTACGCCGGGGGGCGTAAAAAAGGCGCCCTTTCTCAACGAAAAGTCGCCCCTAGGTTTTTTCTTGAATTTGTCTTGAATTTTATGACCTCTCACTGAAAGTAACGCCTTATTGGTGTATTCCCCTGTCCAATTTAGCGCTCAGTTGGTGTGAAACAATTTTTGGGGTCCTTTTTTTGCTCCAGGGGCGCAAAAAAGCTGTAGGGGGCGCCAAAAAAAGGCACCCGACCTTTTTTTTGTATTTTTTTTTTAGGGACACAAAAAATTTGGGCGACTTTTTCGAGCCGACGGGGGGCGCCAAGTTAAATCAGCCACTAACGTTACGCCACTCTATGTGTAATTATATTACGCGAGAGAATTTCAATTGCGCCCTGAAAATAGAGTCTATTTAAAGTCTACCTTCTCCTACAGTTTTTGAGCTATCGCCCTGAAATTCCAGGATAATATGTTCTAGGGATCATTTAGAAGATATAAGCTAGACAGAAGACCCCCTAGCGAGAGCAATTTATAGTCATACATACTGAAAATAGAGTCTAAAATCTATCTTCTTTTACAGTCAATATAAAAGAGAATTTGTATTTACAATAGCAACAAGCAGTCCAGGCTTTTACCCACCTGACAACACCCGGAGCATTTCTTCTCTAGGTAGTGTTTATCAGTCTAGATCACAAATTCCAGTTATTTCCTAGTAAATCGAATAGCAGTCTGTTAAGAACACCACTCACAGTACCTTTGATCTTTCTTATGACTGATATTTTCTGCTAGAGACCGAAAATGCATCCAGGTCTGCAGTGAAATCATAAAAATGATAAGCTCAAGATGTACCAATCTAGACTCTAGAGGGACCACCCATGCACATGCCTAAAATCTAGTTCCTTGAGTAGACTCCCAATTACTATGCTCCAGCCACAGGTATGTACGCAGCCTTACCGTACCCAAGCCTGTAATAATAACATTTTATTTAAAGGGAGGACCCCCAACCCATGTAGCTGAGACACCTCACAGCAAGTAGACCAAAGTGGCTCTTGCTTGTAAAATGTGCATCAACTACCCGCCTGGCCCTGGGATCATTTCGTCCGTAAAATATGGGAGTAACAAATAGTCCCTATTATTTTTGTACAACCAGTGCTTGACACTGTTTACTGCTAACTGAATGGAAACTTACTTTACCACTTGGATTGGTAGAACCTGTCAGATTGTATGTAAACTGGAATGATATTTGTGTCAAGTCGTTTATATAGTATATATACATACATAGCATAGGCTACTTGCAGGGGTGTAGGGCACCCCTGGCAACTTGTATGTATCACATCTCAATTATTATTATTCCTTTTTGGGCTTTACCCGATACCCATTGGTTTTAAATATACAATTGGGGCTTTGCACAGTGATTTTATCCATTGCAATTGCATTTCCATTAACTTGCAGAAATTTTGCCTGCCGGATGAGTGATGACTTTAATTTCATGTTTACCAAAATCTTTAACGTTTTTGGTTGGGAATCAGCTTTAAGTATATATAGGGGACGTCATCGGGCATTGGCTCGACCTCCGAGGCGGGGTATCCGCGAGGACCCTGGTCGTAATCAGTGTTAACTTTAAATGGATCACTATGCAATGAAACACACCAGTTGTTACAAGTAATTATCAAACCCCACAGACAACATGTTTGTGGTACATTCTGAAATAGAACACAATTAGTATATATTATATCGACTATCATAAATATATAAACCAAATATATAGCAATTCACAATCTCCCGTTCTTTCTTAAAAAGGCTTTGAAAGATTTAAAATATTAAATATAAAATAAAGGTGTCACAAGAAAGACTATAATCTTTCTAAATATAACTTCCCTCTTTGTGGATACATGCACAACATGTAATAGAAAATCGTTTTAAACGAGCACATTATATAAATCACAAATACCAATATATTCACTCTTTTAACTTCTTTAAGTTTCAAATTATTAAGATTATTAAAATCCTTCACACACAATATTAAAAACTTTGAATACAATGTTTATTATTGGAATACAATTCTAAACAGTTCATTGTCAAATTCTCCTGACGACAATACCTCCCGTAGCAGTGAAGTTGGAGCTCCAGCTTTAGTCAAACAATCTGCAAGCTGTTTCTTTGTTGAAATCCAACGAACTGTCATTTCACTATTGTTCACTCGCTGTCTCAGGCAAGCTATTGGTATCCTCAATCCCTTGTCATCAACATTTTTCGAGGTTTGGATAGCATCATGTAGAGACTTGCAATCAGTCATTACAATGACATCAAGTTTTCCAGATAACATGATCTCACTCAGCTGAGCTTGGATCAACTCACATGTTTCCACTGCTTCGATCATTGCCCAACTCTCCGCTGCTAAAGTACTTTTACATACTCTCCGGATTTTTCTACTCTGCCATGTAATGGGGCAAGATTTTCCTGTAAGCGAAACAAGGAAAATTATGAAGCCTCCCTGAGAGCTACCATCCTTCAAGTTTCCATACGATGCATCACAGAAAACCACTAAGACTGACTCAGGCAACAGTAGTTTCTTAAACCTGAGTGTTAGAGGATTCTTTTCTAAGAACTTTACTGTTTTGTTTACCATTTTCAAATCTGCGATGGTCCCTTCAGTCACAGAATTACTAGCAAAACATGTAGCATAAGCTACATCTGGCCGTGTCTGTGTTGATACCCACAACAACTGTCCGCACACAGTTCTCAGTTGTTGCTTTTCTTTCTCGTTGATCATATTTTGATATATCTTTCTCGAGATCATATTTTTCTGACGGAAGGTTAGCGCTGTTAAGGAATCTGTAGGCCAGGACTGCTTCAGGAAGAGTGATTTTGTGTCTCCTGAGATCCGCTAGCAACTTCTCAAACTCAGATATGTAACTCTGTAGAGACAACCCTTCTGGTCTCACATATTTTTCAAACTTACCGTAAACTCGGTAACAGGTTTGAGCTGAGTCCTCTAAATAGATTTTGTCAAGATGACTTAAAATCTTCGCTATTGCATCCTCTGCAATTAGGACATCTTTTCCCAATGATCGTACTGTATCCTTTATCTTCCCTTGTTTCAATTCTAAGAGCAACGCAGTTCCTTGTCTCTTTTTCTCTAAACCCGTGAACTCTTGCCACAGCTGCAGGTCTAACTTCCAATTGCAGTAGTCCTGATCCTCACTGTATGCCGGTGGGGCTTTGTAATTACTAGTTACTCTAACTGTCTCTGGGGGTGCCATTGCGTCCTTCTCTGCTACCACTTGTTAACTTTAAATGGATCACTATGCAATGAAACACACCAGTTGTTACAAGTAATTATCAAACCCCACAGACAACATGTTTGTGGTACATTCTGAAATAGAACACAATTAGTATATATTATATCGACTATCATAAATATATAAACCAAATATATAGCAATTCACAATCAGCTCTGCACTGTTTCAGTGTATCCTGATGCCTGAAATCTCGGACACTGCCTACGTACGGGGTAGACAGCCACGGATGATTTTGTCTGTGAGCTTTTCATCACTTCCTGACATGAGCCAGACCTCAGCTGGATCCTTCCTTTTCCTTTTTCTTCACTTCCCGTTCAGTCTACCTCTTCATCATCAGTTTGAGTTGCTTCGCCTTGCATTCGAACTTAGCCTCGACAGTTCACCACGGCACCTCTTTTGGATGCCTCCTGCCGGGCAACACTAGCTCTCAGACACTGGCTAACTTACCGCGCACGGTTTAGTTTCTGTGTCTTTTCTGTGGCCGTGTATTCCGTTTTATGCCACCCTCTCTGCCGTTCTCGCGCCTGCGCTCACCCACTCCTCAGTGGGCTGTTCATTTGACAGAGTTACTGGCTGGCACTCCCATCATCTTCTCACTCACCATCACTGCCCAATCAAATTTATGCAATCAAAATCACAATACACCCATAATCATATGATCAAAACACAAAGCTTTGAAATATACTTTTTTTGTTTGAGATTTGAATAACGTTACTGTAATGTTCCAAATTATATTTTAAATGTTCAAAAAAAAAAATGTTCGTGAATCGTGATGTACAACAAACGAGTATAAATTATTCAAACAATATACACATAATATAGCAATGACCCTATATAAAATCAACCCTTTAAGAATTCAAAAAATTCCCTTAACAATCAAAAAAAATTTTTACCCTTGGCCTTGTGGCTCCAAGTTAAGATCTAGACTGTTTATATCAACAATGTTTTTTCTCGCACCTCTGTCTCCACGGAGAGAAATCACTGTTGTTCTGAGGATTTCAAAGCGAAGGCGCTTTCTTATGTATCCTACAGCGTCTGAGTACCTCTGGCCAGTGTGGTACTCCATCTTACTGGCCAGCTTCTTGACCAGTCTCTCAGCTTCACCACCCATTCCACCAGAAGTCGAGAACACTAAAGGTGTGAAGCTTCCTTTCGAAGAAAAGAATATTCAAACAATATACACATAATATAGCAATGGCCAATTGGCTGACTATAAGGTCATGGCCTGAACTTTAATAGTCAAGTGATGCTAAAGCAGAGCACAAATATGTAATAAGTTAATAGATAAAAATACTTCCTTTCTCCACTTCAAGAACCCTTGCATTGTAACATCGCTTTTTCTCATTTTCATGGGACAGGTACATTGCTGGTATCGGTTTGCTTGCATTGGAGGGGGCTGGGGCATGAAATACCCTTACATCAAAAAATGCCCTCTCTGA